GTCTGTTCAGAGCCCAGCCCCAGCCAGCTCAGCCCAGTTCAGCTAGGCCTAGCCCCAGTGTACCCTAGGCCTCTGAGGAGGGCCCTGATTTAGGGGTGGGGGGAGCACTTCCTTTGAGAATAGCTGGTCCAGCAGGGAGGTGGGGGCAAGGGGGAAAGGGAATCTGCCCTGTTGACCCAAGCAGGAAGGATTCAATAAACACAGGGGGGATTTATGGTTCCCTGATGTGTCACCTGGGGGGGGAGGGGGCTGAGGTTGGCCTGAGAGAAGGGAAGAGATAGGGGCCGCATCACAGCTGGATGAAGGAGGAGAGGGCTTGGAGACAGGGTTTCTAGGCCACAAGGCAAGCTCGAGGAACAGAGCTCCAGGGGCAGGCCCCAGGGAGCTGGGAGGCTCAGGCTGCAGCCCAGAATGCTGCCACCTGTCCTATACTTAGCCCTGACACAGGCAGTGGGAAGCACTTAACTCCAGAAAAGGTGGTTGATATCGCAAATACTTCTATCCTGTCCACAGCCCTGGTGTTTGAACTCATTTCCACACCACCCTAGCAAAACCAAAGTTAGTAAGACTTGGGGATTGTTAGTAAGAAGAGCTGGGTTCAAATCCTATTCATCTTCTTATTACCTGCATGATCTTGGGCAAAAGGCTTCCCCTCCCTAAATCTCAGTTTTCTCACCTGTAAAGTGAGAGGATTCGACTAGATCAGGGGCCCGCAAACAAAAAGGCCCAGATCTGGCCTTGGAGCACTGGTTTCAGTGACCCCTGCACTCCTTTTGAGGTCCCTTCCAGAGCAAAATTTGCGATCCCAATGACAATCTCTCTGAGACTCAGTTTCCCTATCTGCACGAGGGGGGTGCATTACATGGCCTCTGAGGCCTCTTCCAGCTATAATTCTAGGATCTTGCCTGCCTGTTTAATGAGCAGGAGACTAAAGGGTTAAGTGCTTAGGTTGGGGTTGGAGGGAGCCTTAGGGAACTGGATCCTCAGAGTTAGTCTCCCCCTCTCCTAGCCTGGCAAGGGCCACCCAGCCCCCTGCCCCCACCCCAGCCCCTGCCAAAGCCCATTGTTGGCAGCTCCCCGCCCTTCCCCTTGGGCAGCCTACCCACGCCCCACATTCTTGGCACTGGAGGCCCCGGAGCCATTGTTTCCTGAGAGAGATGGGGCCCCAGCCCAGGTGAGAGGGGCTGGACCTTCCCTCCTTCCTCTTCCGACTCTGACTGTCCTCCCAGGCTAAGGTCTAGAGAGAGCCCAGGCCAGCCCAGCCCAGCCCAGCCCAGTCCATCTTGGTTTATCCCTTCCATCTTCTCGAAGACTCTAGTCTCAAAGGCTTAGACGCAGTAAGAAAAAGAACAGTTTCAGATAATGGGGTCATAGCTCAAGAGCTAGAAAGGACCCCAGAAAGACTACCTGGTCTAACCCTGTCATTTTACAGACAAGGAAATTGAGGCCAAGGCCAAGTCAGTAGAAAAATGAGAATTATTCTCCCCATTTTACAGATGAGGAAACCATGTTGAGACAGCTGTGAGTGGCCTTGACCGTGGGCCCCCTATTCCACAGCTTCTTCCCATGGGGATCTCATCTGAGACCAGACAGAACTGAGAGTGCTCAGACTCCCAGAGGTGGCCCTGATGGCTGAGGGTTCAGTGGGCCTTAGAACTTGGCTCACAGCAGTCAGCCCTTCCTCTTCAAACTTCTGCCATCCTGGGAGGTCAGGCTCAGTTTCCTCTACTTGGCTGGAGGGCAGAACCAGGGACGGTGGGAGGCTGGTGCAGAGGAGGCCCATTGAAGCTCCATCATTAGAGCTGGGTCACAGGAGAATGGGAGAGGGCTTCCTCTCACTGAAGGCCTTCAGTGACCACTGAGCTACCTGTCAGTTACAGATCACTTGAGAAGCTGAGGCTTCACTTTTCTGTAAAATGAAGGGGTCCCTGCTGGCTGTAGAACCTTGTTCCTATGGTACAGTGAGAAAAGTCCCCTCTGGAGTCAGAGGACCTGGGTTCAAATCCTGCCTCTCATAATTGTTACCTGTGTGACCTTGGGTAAGACCTGGGCCTGTTTCCTCATCTCTAAAATGAGAGGGTCCAACTGGACAGCCTCTGAGGTCCTCCCTGGTCCTAGATGTAGGACCCTGTTGGGAAGCCAAGTCCTGATGTGATGGACATTTCATAGAGCTCGTGGACTGGGGTGGGGATGGCCGCAGGATGCGAGGCTGTAATGGGATGTCCTAAGCTGTGCCATCACTGTCAGGCACCCTCCTTCCCCTGTGAGGCGGGTCAGGGGCCTTTGAAGTGTAGGGGGCAGGATGCAGGGCTGGGCTGTGGGGGCCACCTGGAGACTGCTTATCTGGGATGCAGCTGGAGGGGGGCCCTATCTGAGCTCAGTGAGACCATAGGGCAGTCAGGTGCAGGAGGGAGAGAGGGAAAATGCCATGGGCAGACTGTGGCTTTCGTCCTACCCCCTTTCTCCTCCTCTTCCTCCTCCTCCCCCCTTCTCTACCTCTTCTTCCTCCTCCTCCTTCTCCTCTTCCTCCTCCCCACTTCTCCTCCTCCTCCTCCTCCTCCTCCTCCAGCCCATCCTCCTCCTCCTCCTTCTCCTCCTCCCCATCCTCCTCCTCCATCCTCAGAGGCAGGATTTGAACCCAGCTCCTGGGCCACCCTGCTAGGACTCCTGGGTCCAGTCCCCAGCCGGGTTGCCATGAGAACAAGGGGTTGGCCCCTTCTCCCTTTCCCAGGCCTCTCTGCTCAGTTTGCAGTGGGCTTTGTGGGGGGGAGGGGACTCGGGGCCAGGCTTGTCCAGCTCCAGGCTCTGATCTCCCCAGTCCTCCCTACACCAGGCTTGCCCTGGCCCCGTGGCCTCTCCACCAGCTCTGGTCCAGCCAGACAGGAAGAGGGGGAGAACCTTGGGAGAGGGAGGGGAGGAGGGAAGGACCCTTCCCATCTGGCTACCCCCTCTTCAGTCTGACCCACCTCCCCCTCTCCTCCCCTTCCAAGGAGGTCGGATCCTTGAAGGAGATCACAAGACAGGCCTGGAGAACAGCCATGGCTGGGCCTTCCCTGTCCCCCCAGGGCATGGAGGCACTGTTGGGGGGGGCAGCCCATTAAGTCTCCAAGGATTTTCCCTTCCCCTGCCCCCCAACCCCTATCCCCTCTCCTCTCCCTCCCCCAGCTACTTCTCCCCACCTTGCTCACTGCCAACCCCTCCTACCTTCCTCAGCCCCAGCCCCACCCCCAGTCTGGTGTGGCTCCCCAGTCCATCCCTTAGGCATCTAGGCATGCTGGCCCCTGGGAGCTGGGCACTGAATGTGAGGTGAGCCGTCTCCACAGGCCTCTCTGCCTTCCTTCCCTCCCTCCCCAAGGTCCCTTCCTGTCCCTTATGGGGAGTGGCCAGGGAGAGAAGAAGGATATTTGAGAGGGGGAGGGTTCCTGCCCTCCTTGGCCTTCTGCGCAGAGCCCAGCGCTCCCCTGTTCTGCCCTGTCCTTCCTCCTCCTCACCCTTCTCCTTCTCACTGGCTCCTGGTCTGGCTCGGGTCCCTGGAGGTCAGGCTTAAAGGCAGGGCTGGTCCTTGGAGAGCCTAGGGCCAGGAAGGGCTTGAGGCTCATTTACACAATTCTCTAGCTCTCTCTCTGAGCCTCACCCCTCCTCAGGGGCCCTCTTACATGGCACATCCACCCACCCCATTTCTTCCCCCTTCTCCCCCCCCATCCTTCATCCCTCCAGGGATCAGGGCTTCCATCTGGAGACCTGGGAGGAACCTTGGAGGCCCCTGGAGCAGAGGGCAGCTCATTTAGTCCTGCCCCTCCATTTTACAGATTAAGAACCTGAGACCCAGAGAGGGACCCTAGATCAAAAGCTACAATGGACTTCAGGAATTATCTAATCCAGTCCCTTCATTTTACAGATGGGGAACCCAGATAGGTCATGGAGGATCATGGGTTGAGAGGGAGAGTGCCTCATTTTACAGATTGGGAAACTGAGGCCTGGAGGAGTATCCTAGATCCAGAACCAATCCCCCATTTTACAGATAAGGAATATGAGGCATAAGGGAAGGGACTAGCCCAAGGTCACACAGGTTGTTAGGTAGGAGGATTTGAACCCAAGTTGTCTGATCTCAGATCTGGTGCTCTTTCCACTGCTTCTCATCTTTTACCCAATAAAATACTGGGGGGCAATAATTAGTATTTGTTACTGTAACTATAAACATGCCACCTCAATTGACCCTGCGAGAGGAGTTGTACTAATGGACAGGCATTAGAAACCCCATTTTACAGATGGGAAAGCTGAGGAAAGAAGGGATACGGCCCAAGGTCAGGCCACTAGTCAGGGGCACAGCCAAGAGTGGAACTCAGCTCTACCATTCTTTCCAGGTTCTACATCAACAGGCCAATTCAGAGCAGATTAAAGATCTTAGGACCCCAGATCCAGGGCTGGAAGGACCTTGGAGGCTAATTCAATCTCCTGCTTTTACAGGAGCTCAAGGAGAAATGACTTTCCCAAGGTCACACACATGGCAGAGCTGGCATGTGAACCCAAGCCTCTGACTTCAGAACCAGTGAGCTGTCCAGTGAGCTAGAAATTCTAGGTCTGGATCCCAGCCCCAGCAGCTTGCCTTCTGTTCTTCAGCCCTGCTCCCCTCAGAAGGGAACAAGCATTTATTAAGTGCCTACTGTGTGTCAGGCACTGCACTAAGGGCTTTACAAATATTGTCTCATTTAAGAAATGTTTGTTCCCTTCCCCTCCCCTCCCTTCCCTTCCCTTCCCTCCTTCCCTTCCCTCCCCTCCCCTCCCTCCCCTCCCCTCCCTCCCCTCCCCTCCCCTCCCCTCCCCTCCCCTCCCCTCCCTTCCCTTCCCTTCCCTTCCCTTCCCTTCCCTTCTTTGGACTTTGCTCTTCTCTGAGGCAGCAGCCTCCCACCCACTCCAAACCCCTTCCTCCCCTCAGCTGACGGCTCTGGAGCCGAGGAGGGCCAGGGCATCGGGGGAGGGGAGCTAGCTGGGGGTCCTACCTTCTTCACAGTTGGTGCCTGAATGACCCGGACAGCACTTCCACTCCAGAGAGGTCACTGTCTTGTACACAACCCTGTATGTCGGTCTCACCACCGTTCTGTAGCTGCAACACAGTCATGGAACCCAACGTGGCTTAGCTCGGAAGGGTTCAGGAACCTCCTCTCTGGTCAGCGACCACTGCCCTGTGCTGTTTGGTCAGTAACCACTCCATCACAGGCCAAGAGAATGACAGCTCCTTGTGCCCAACCCATAGTGATGGGCCCCAATCCCAGATAACCGCCACCCTCCTGTGCCCTGGGTCCTCACCCCCACCTTCAGTGTCATCCTCAGAGGAAACAGAGGCTCAGTGGAGAGAGCCCCAGGCTGGGAGTCAGGAAGACTAGTTCAGATCCTCCTCCCTTAGAAACTTACTGGCTGTCGACTGCCAAGTCACTTAACCTTTATGGGCCTCAGTTTCCTCATTTGCAAAATGAGGGTAATAATTCCTGCAGGCTTTCCTTTCAGAATTTTTGTCAGGATCAAAAGATCCTGATCAGGATGTTTTAGGAAATGCTCCTGTTAGGGCGCTTTACAAACCTGAGAGTTCTGCGTCAACCGTTGTTGCTATAACAGCTGATATCCGCAGAGATCTAAGGTTTGCAAGGCAGCTTACAGGCCCTAGTTCATCTGGATCCTGACAACTCTGAAAAAAAAAAGATCTGCAGGGACTGTTATCCCCATATTACAGATGATAATACTGAGGCTCAGAGGGTAAGTGGCCTGTAATAGAGATGGGGTTAGAACTCAGGTCTCACCTGGCTCCAAGTCCGGAGCTCCTTTCAAGCCTGGATCCCTCATCTGGTCCTGAGCATTATCTGCCTTCCTCTGTGTCCTGGCCCCTCCACGAGATGGGGAGCTCCCACGGGGCAGGGACCAGGGCTCACCCATTCTGGCATTCCCAGCACTCAGCCCACCAGCGGTGCTTAATAAACACATGCTGACGGCACTTTATTCTCCTGGGCTTAGTGTGTGCGCGCGCGCGCGCGCGCGCGTGTGTGTGTGTGTGTGTGTGTGTGTGTGTGTGTGTGTGTGTGCATGTGCGCGTGTGTACTGGGAGAGACAGAGAATCAGAGAGACAGAAAGAGAGGGAGAGAAGAAGAAAGAGACAGAGAGAGAGAGAGAAAGAGACACAGACAGAGAGAAGAAAGAAAAGAGACAGATGAGAGAGAGGAGAGAGATGAGAAAGAGAAAAGGGAGAGAGACAGAGACAGAGAGAGGGGAGAAAGATGAGAGAAATTTGGGGGCAAGGGGAAGGGGAAATGGCTTCCAGGAGCCTTGTTGTTTGCTTCTATCTGTGTCCAGACACCCAAACCGACCTGTATGGATGCTGGAGAAAGTCCAGCTTCTGTTTCACATGTTACATGAGGGCATTCAAGGCTTGCCACAATCTGGCTTCAATTCAGTCTGACAAACATTTATTCAGGGCCTCCTGTGGTCAAGACCCCATGCCAGATGCTGGGGTTACCAATATAAAAACTGCCCATGACGTTGGCCTCAAGAAGGGCTTGTGATCACCGGAGTGGGGGGTGGGGGGTGGGGGAAGGAGTTGACTATTGGTGCCCACATGGATCCCAGAGCAGCTGGCGACAGGCAAAGGAGAGACGTGGCTTGAGGAAGAAGATGAGAGGGGGGAGGACCACACTCGTCCAGGGGGATCAGACCCAGCCCAACTCTGCACTTACATATACCTGGTTCCCTCATCTAAGACCCTTCCTTCTGAAGCTGGACTGGTGTGTTGGCCATCCCTGAATGGACTGGGTGCTGACCCTCCCCAACCCCCTGAAAGATTCTCCGTCCACCTCCTCCTCTTGCCCAGCCATCTGCCTGTTCTTTAAGGTTCACCATACAGTCCTACCTCCCCTGGGAAGCCCTCTCTCACTACCACCCTGAACCGCTTCCTCTGAACTCCCATCATACTCGCTGTCTGTGCCACTCACTGGAGAACTGAAATCAAGGGAGAGAATTTATACACTCACCATGTAAACCTATAGAACTAGATACCTCTGGTTAGACTATATAAGACAGTATACACAACTATTATATACAACAGTATACTAGAAGACTATAGAAACCATAGAAATGTCAGTTATCATTATCACTGTACTCAACAAACATTTCCTTCCTGCTTGCTACGTGCCCTGGACATACAAAAATGAGCTGGTCCCTGACCTTAACATGCTTACATTCTGTATACCTACTTTCTCTAATTGTTATTTAACTTGTAACAATCATCTAATCACTAAACAGGTATTAAGCACCTACTGAATGCAGAGCTCTTTCCAGGTCTACATATCACCTCACCAAAGAGACTGGAAGTGTCTTGAGGACAGGAATCATCTATCTCCCTCACAATGACCAGGATGGCATTGGGGGAACAGCGAGGGCTGATCAAATGTTTATTGACAATGGGTGCCCTGGCTGAAGGCATCTATTTCCTTGTGAATAAATGAATGTATCTTTTATGACTTGCTGAATGAATGCACCAGCACTGTGAATGAATGAATGAATGAATGACTATAGGAGAGAATGTTTGAAGGTAAACCGGACAGGCCTCAAGCACTGATTGGATATGGGGTAGAGGAGAGGCAGAGGAAAGCGGCATTGAGGACCAACATCTAGGCTGTGAGCCTGGGTGACCAGGATGATGGTGGAGAGGAAGCAGTGTCCACACTAAGCTGGGTGGCTGGGGGAGGCTCTGTATCTCCAGTGCCTCGGTCAGTCCAATGTGCATGCAGCAGGAGATTAGTAAGTGATTTCTGGGTTAGGTTGAGCCGTGTCAGGGTCCGAGGATCCCGCTTCTCTTACCTGTTCCCAGGGCAGCTCATGGGCCACCGGCAGCTCTGTAGGACCCTTTGCAGGTAGGTGCCATTGTGGACGTGGCAGGAAACAGTCCGGCTCACTATGTATGAGCACCAGTTTCTGAAAAATAGACCACAGCAGAAGCTTCAGGTCCCGTTCCCTGCCCCCACCCCAGGGCCTCAGCGTCCCTGCAGGGCCCTGCTCCGTCCACCACAGGCACCTCCATCCCCTCTGAGAATGCCCAGCCCTTCCCCCATCTCACATGGGTTTTCTGAGTCTGGCTTGGATTCCCACAACTCCTTGGGGGCAGAAGTGGAATTTCCCAGAGAGGACAACACCCCGATCCCCAGAATGCCATGGATGTGGACACGCAGAGGCTCTTGGGCCAGCAGCCTTCTCTCTACTGTCTACTCCTCAGAGTAAGGTCCTCGCTCTCATGAAGGCCAGCTGGGCTGGGCCTGAGGGGTGGGAGGCTCAGCGCTCATCTTCCCTCCCTCCTCCAGTGAACAGGGCAGGGCCCCCTGACTCAGAGAAGGTTGAGGTTCATTGAGCGCTAGGAATGTCCTGATACAGCTTACCAGGACACAGACACTCAGTTGGCCATTGGGAGGGTAGCCCTCAGCCCTGCACTAGCCTGGGGCAGTAGTGGGTTGGAAGATGGACAGGTCCACACTGACCTACGGTCCAGCAGCACCCACTGACCACCCAGGTAGCCTTGGGGAAAGTCACTGCCCTGTTCTGGACCTTATCAGTGGTATAGGAATGAGTATGCCTTTCCCTCAAGGGTCATTATGAGGATTGAATGGGAGGAGAGAGAGACTTGAAAAGAATATGAAAAAAAAACCAAAAGGGGATATTACTGTGACAAGGAGGCCAGGGCTGGACCCAGGGGCATGGCCAAGGAAGTCAGAGATTCTGGAATGATAGAACATGGAATGTCTAAGGTGGGAGGGGCTTTGGAACCTAGAACATGGAATGTCAGACTGGGAGGGGCTTTAGAACAGAGAATGTCAGAACTGAGAACCCTAACAATCACTGTGGATTTCTGGCCATGACAACTCCAGCGAAACCCTGAAATTTGTGCAAGACCAAATAATGATCAAGAAATCCAAAGAGAAAGTGGAGCTAGTGGCATCTTCCACCCCAAAACTGTACACAAAGGTCTTCCCAAGCCCACAGGCACTAGGAAGCTGGGTTACTACTGAAGCCAACTTAGGCTGCAGGGTTTTCTCCCAAGGAGCTGAGGGCCTTCTGAGAAAACCCCAGAGGATGGGGGAACCTTGGAATCTTCACTAAGTGATAATGACCGGTTCTAGAGCAAGGCGGCGGCTCTCAGACCCTTTCAGTTCAGGTCCAGGGGAGCCAGGGTCCCTAGCACTCTGTCTTGAGACACCAGAGAAGCCCTGATGACCCAGACCTCTGAATCTCAAAGACCCAAAGGGGCATAACCCCTGGAAATGAAGATCAGAGTGGACCAGGAGACCCAGGGAAAGACCAAGCAAGACCCATCACTCCACCCCAAAGCGCAGCAGACAGCAGAGCCTGGTGCCCTGTTACAAAGCCCCAATTAGGGACTAATGCTGCAGAGATGAGTAAACTAAAGAAAACACTGACCAGTACCAAAATTTTGAAGAGCCAGAGATCACCCTAGGGCAGCCAGGGGGCACAGTAGAGAGAGTGCTGGGTCTGGACTCAGGAAGTCTCAACTTCCTGAATTCAAATCTGGCCTCAGACACTTACCAGCTATGTGACCCTGGGCAAGTCACTGAACCCTATTTGCCTCAGTTTCCTCATCTGTAAAATGTGCTGGAGAGGGAAATGGCAGACCACTCCTGTGTCCTTATCAGGAAAACCCCAAATGGAGTCACAAAGATTGGACACAATTGAAAAACTTGAACAACAAAGAATTCCCCACCAAAGAAAGAGCAAACAACTCCATTAACAACTGCAAGCAGAGACGCAAAGGAGGAAAAAAATGAACGGATATTCCAGAAGGAAAACATTGTTACCTAGAAGAAATGAGCAAGGGATAAAAAATGAAAGAAAAGTTATGAAGAGAAGCCCTGGAAGTAGAACAAATAATTCAGAAGAAATAGTTGTAAACATTACCCAAGTAAATGAAAAATAGATTAGAAACAAACAGAAATCAGTGACTCCATGAGACAGCCAGAAATAGTAGAATGAAATTAAAAAATTGAAAAAAGTAGAAGAAAATGTAAGACCCTAAAAACAAGGTCCAGGAGAGATAATTTAAGGATCATCAGATTCCCTAAAAACCTAAGTTTTTTTTAAAAAAAACCTCTATTTCAAGAAATCACAAGTGAAAACTACCCAAATCTATTTAGAACCACAGAGAAATACAAAGATGGAAAGAGTCCATCACTAACCTCCTAACAAATCCTCTAAAGAAAAAGTCACAAGAATGTGAGTCAAAATCTAGAACTGCTACATCAAAGAAAAAATGCTGCAAGGATCCAGAAAGAAGTAATTCAAGTACCGAGGACCCAAGGACAGGATCACATAAGAGCTGGCAACTTGTACTTAAAAAGAGAGGAGATCTTGGAATGCAGTATTCCAGAAGGCAAAAGATATAGGCTTACAATCAAGATTAACTTACCCTGTAAAGCTGAGTCTTATAGGAAGAAAATGGATCTTTAGTGGAATAGAAGACTTTCGATTATTTCTAATGAAAAGACCATAATTATATAGAAACTTTGAAGTGCAAACATAGGAATTAAGAGAAATCCAGAAAGGTAAATTTATTTGAGTAATTGGAAAGGGTTGTATGATATTGCAGGGCTAATAAGTCTTGTAGAGAAAAAAGAAATGTGTCTCTTCAGAACTTTGGGGTTTTCAAAGGGTACTGAGGGAATTAAATATTAAAACAGAGGACCTGGGGACAAATTGGTTCTGTTTTGAGGTTTTAAGAGGAGAACAAGAAGGGAGGGTAAGAGGAATACTCTTGTATGGGAAGGAAGAAAGAGGTGGAATTTACTATTTTTCATAACTGAGGTATGTGAGAAGAATATACAAACATGGATGAAGGGGTGGGGGAGTAGGCATCAGATGACACTCGTTCTTATCTGAAATAGACAAAAGAAGGTTGAGTACACGTGTGCACAAATAGTTGGGTGCAGAAATACATCAAACTCAGCAAAGAAGCAACCAGGGATGGGGAAGGGAGGTTAAGGGGAAGGATGATACTAGGGAGGGAACAGCCAGAAGGAAAATAAACTTTCTGGTCTTGAAGCAGGGATTAAAATGGGGGAAAAGAGCAAAGCAAAGAACTAGAATGTGAGGGAGTGTCCATCCACTGGGGAATGGCTGAGCAAATTGTGACCCAGGAATACAATGGAATATTATTGCACCATAAGACTCGACAGGAGATGACTACAGAGAACCCTGGGTAGCATGAACTGATGCAGAGTGGATGGAGCAGAACCAGGAGGGCAGTTTATACAAGGACAACAAAATCATAAAGAAAAACAGCTTTGAAAGACTTGTACTCTGATCAATGCAATGGTCAACCTCATCTCCAGAGGACCCATGATGGGACACATTTGGACAAAGAGGCGATGGACTCAAGGGTGGGAGGAGACACACCTTATTAGGCACAAGGGGTTTCCCCCCTTCTTTCTCTTAGTTTTTACCGGAAGGGGTTGAGGGAAAATTGACAATAATGATACCGAAAGAGAGAGGGAGAGAGACAGAGAGAGGGAGGGAGGGAAAGAGAGAGAGAGAGAGAGAAGAGAGAGAGAAGAGAGAGAGAGAGAGAGAGAGAGAGAGAGAGAGAGAGAGGGAGAGGGAGAGGGCGAGTGCCGTGGAACCATTCTTAGAAGTCCACAGAAGGGGACAAAAGAAAGCTCGGAACAGCACCCAAACAAGCAGGATCCTTTTGAAAGTAGTGAGTGTGTGGAATGGGAACCAGAGATTGCGGTTCATGTACAATCCTCTTCATGTTCTGCTGCGCTTATGGAAATGTGCTCTGTCTTTGGTGTTTAAGGTCAGAATAAAAAAAATTTAAATAATAAAGGAAAAAAGATGGGTCTGGTCCAACTTCCTCATTTTACAGCTGAGGGAAGAACTGGCTCCTTGTCATAGGAAGGGACTTGCCCAAGGTCACATGGCTAGTTCCTAGGCAGGGCTCTATTGGCTTGGCTCCTTGTTCTCTTAGATGACACACCCACATACCCATGGATGCCATCCCATGTACACTGTGACTCATTCATGCACAGGGCAGCCCACGCTTGTGCATATACACACCTCCCGGTCCCATTCTCAGGTGTGACTGCATGCATGCATGCACCCGCACTCTAGCGCATGCGCGCACGCACACACACACACACACACACACACACACACACACACACACACTCTTCCTGGGTCTCCAGCAGCTGGCTCGGTGGGCGTGCGTGTCTATTCAGAATTTCCACTGTGGCATGTTCTCTCTTTACCAGAGGGGAGGAGAAAACATTTCTCCCATCTTTTCTTCTGTAATTAAAATCATACCCACTGTGCCGCCCAGGCCTGCGGCTGCCCTGTTTATTTTTTGGTGAGCCAGGACTTGAGATCTACTCTTTGGGACCAGAGCAGGGCCTGGCTGTCTGGGCAGAGAATCCCAAGCCATCGACCTCCTGGAGACCAGAGTGGCTGGGAGGCAGACACTGAAGCGAGCTCGGGGCCGGGCTGGGGGTGGGGAGCCCTGGAGCCTCCCAGATCCACAGCTAGAGGGGCCTCAGGTGGTCTAGCTCAACTGCTTCATTTTACAGATGAGGAACCTAAGACTAGAAGAGCTTAAATCGTTTATTCAAAGTCCTGCATGGAGGGGAAGTATCACAGATGGGATCTGAACTTGGGTCTTGAGATTCCAATTTTGGGGCTGCTTTGATTACAATTGGGTTTCACCCAGGATAACATGACAATTTAACTGAGAGTATCTCAGGGGCCAAGAGGGATCTAGTTCAAACCTCTCTGCTGACATTTACCAGCTGGGGATGGAGGTCAACTGGGCCTCAGTTTCCCCACCTGCAAGAGAGATAACAATCTTTGTGCTATCACCCTTAGAGGTCACTGGAAATGAGTTATTCAAATGTTCTCTTCTCTTGAACCAAGTAATCAAT